AACAGTGCCTATTTGCTTTGTAATTGCTTTAATTGACTAAGAAGGAACCATTTACAGTAGTGGAAGTCTGTGCTCCTGGGATTCAGACCCAAAAACTTGCATTATTTGTAGATGATAGATTATTGATTTTAACAGATCAGGTGTTTTCCTACTTTGCACAACCTGCTCACCTATTACATTTCAGTTTACTATCATAAAATAAACCCATGAAAATATTGAGCACTGCCATACAATGTACTATCAGAACAACTTCTAGAATTAAAATCACTACATAGGTCTGATTCGAAACACTTCTTCATACAAGACTTAGGCATAAGACTCTACACAGACAATGACTCCCTTCCTGGGAAGCATCTAATCTAATTATGAACCCAACTTGTAGGTGACCTAGAGCAATGGAGGAAATTTTAATTTTCCTGGTTAGGATGCATAGGATCCATAAAAATGATGGTAATGCCAAAAGTGTTATATTTACTTTGAAACATACCCCTTTCTTTCACACGTCACTCAATTTTGGCAATACAGCACTCGTCTAACTGATGAATACATGTTTACAAACGCAGATGGATCCCCTTGGCAACATGTAGAAACCAAGGAAGTCTGGTGGGTTGGAACTAACAAATTTAGAGTATTACTGCAAAACTACCTCCCTGACTCAATCCCTCCTCTTTTGCTCTTCTTGTGGCCAACTAGCCTGGGTTGATTTAGAGGACAGCATGTTATCACACCATCACCTTGGTCCGCAAGTGGGGCAACTCCATTCTAGCGGAACCAGCCTCACCACTGGGCATTGGAGAAGACTAATTGCCAGCCTCCTGCCCTGTGACTATGGCCCCATGTTGAAATGCTTGATTTTCCCCTGCAAAGACTCGAAAGCCGGGTCATTCGGTACTTCCCTATTTGAACAGTGATACCCCAGATAGCTACGCTATGGAGCCCATTCGTATAACGAAAGACTATGTGAAAGACTTTGGCTCCATGGCAATTGAACTGTATGTATGTGATCTAAGCGCCATTCAGTAATAAAGTGCGCTCAGATCTAAGCTATCTGGGGATATGTTGATTGTACCTGTTTTATGCAATAGCTGCACAGTTATATATATTTATGTATTTTATTGTCTTTTGCTACCATGTGGCGAATGGAGTTTTGCCTCTGTCCTTGGAGATAATTGGATTACTTCCCAATTATCTCTGTGGAACCGGTTTTGGGCAGAAAAGCCATGCTTCATTTGGTCACAAAGGACTTTGATCTAACTTTTGACCCACTGGACCAATTTGTATGATTTTGACGTATGTTTGTATTTGGAGTATGCTGATTCTGAAAATGAAAGTGAATGTGAGTTTATGTGAATGTGATGCATACTTTTAAAGTTATGAATATTGTGTAAAACTTTGTATTTTCTTGCCTGTGATAATTGTATTAACCCATTGTATAAGATAATTGTATCACAAGCAGAGGGGAGGATTTTGTGTGGGAGTGTCTGAGTGTATTGTACATGTTTATTGGTTGTTTTACAAAACCCTGTGGGTGGTACTAATGTGTAAGAATGTGTATATAAGAACAATAAACCCACAACTCTGGCAGTTCTACTTCACCCTCAATTTGGAGTGCCGTCTCTTATTGGGGGAATCTGCTACAAGGGATTACTATAATCACTACTAAGTTCTTTTAAGAAAATGTTCCTGTTTTGTTCGCTGAAGGAGTCTACGGTGGTTATGGTGTCTGCTGGAGTGCTTGGAGCCCTCAGGAAGCGCTAGGAGCATCCTTCAACGGAGGTACGCAGTTGGGGTGCCAGGTGATCCGTTACATCCATATTTACACATACCATAGTATATACAATTTCCAGATATGGAAAGAACCACAATGAAACATATCCTTGTTGACTCTAATAGCAAAGCACATTCCAAATTGTCATACTGGACATTGATTTCAGACAATGGTGCTCTGGAGGGATACACAATGTATCCAATTGCTAGTGCAAAATAAGGTTGATTCCTTTGCAATATTTCTATAAGTATCTTCAAATAAGACACTATTTACTATCTGCAAAACCCCATCCTCCAGAGGAACTGGAGATTCCTCTAGTTAAACTGATAATGGCGGCCCAAAAGCTGCAAAAGCAATTTATGTTTGCAACCAAAGCCTACTGCATTATGCTCATTTGAATCCCCCTTCATAAAAAAGATCTTTGAAACTGACTACATGAAGAAGATTTTTTGGAAAGGGAATGGAATAAATGCTATATCTCGATATACTAACCATATTAAATCATATAAACTCTTATTTCAACGATATTCCCGGTCACCTTCTCTCTTTACTGGCAAAATTGTACTGAGGAGGGTTCACTTGTACATATTTGGTGGTACTGTTACTTTATGCTAGTGCAGTGAGGGAAACTATTTGAAGTGGTTCCCCCCACTTTGGGAGGCTCGGGAAGCATAGTTGGAAATGTGTTATAATCAGTTCTATGAGGTCTCTAAAATTGGATTGGAATTTGTGTCGTATCTCCCTCCTCCCCTTTTTTAATACTACCACACTCACACAAATCTCCAAATCAAAACTTAAAGGGACACTATAGTCACCAAAGCCATTCTAGATTCAATGCATCTCTATGATGAGATGCTGATTGGCGTAGTGTGGCATTTTGCTGCGCATGCGCAATATCCTCCCAATGCTTTCCTATGGGAGAGCACTGGATTGACTGAGACTGAAGTTAGGCGGAACTGAGTAAAAACACCTTGTCAAAGCGATGCAAGGGGCTGGGGGCTGTATAGTGTTCCTTTAATATCTCACACAATACAAGATACGTAGTATCGCTTTTGGGCAAACTGTGCTTATAGGTTTCTTTTTAATTTAAAGTTCCATCTTGTCTTGTGGTTTATATTTTATATAAATGTATCTTAAGCTGTCCATGTCCACCTCACCAGTGGCGTCCCGGTATGTATGCCACTGTGGCCAGCCTGTTCCCCTGGGGGGCCCAGAAGCTGGCCACCTCAGGGCCCCCAAGGCTGGACCTGCTGTCACTGGGCGGCCGGACCTGTGGGCCCTCGAAGGCGCTCTCTCCCCTGTGTGCTCCCTCCTCAGCTCCCTCGCACACCGCACTGATACCAGAGCCGGAAGATGACGTCATCTTCCGGCTCCGGCATCAGTACGCGGCGCTCGAGGGAGCTGAAGAGGAAGCACTCAGGGGCAGTGGTGTACATACCAGGGTCGCAGGAGTCGCGGCTGCGACCGGACCCGGCCCACCAGGGGGCCCGGCCGCCCTGCGACCCGGTATGTATGCCACTGTGGCCAGCCTCTTTCCCTGGGGGGCCCAGGAGCCGGCCACCTCAGGGCGCCCCGGTCCTGCGGGCACGCGAGGCAGCACTCTCCCCTGTGTGCTCCCTCACGCACCACACTGATTACTTAATGCTTTCCTATGGACGTTCAGTGTCTTCTCAATGTGATTTTCACAGTGAGAATCATGGAAGCTCCTCTAGCGGCTGTCAATGAGACAGCCACTGAAGGCTGAATTTACCCCCTATGTTTTCAGCTGCAGGGTTAAAATGAGAGGGACCTGGCACCCAGACCACTTCATTGAGCTGATGTGATCTGGGTGTCTGTAGTGGTCCTTTAAGTGTGTGTACATCTGCATGCACTGGCGTACATACCACGGTCGCAGGGGTCGCAGCCCTGAAATCCCTGCGACCAGGTGCCCGCCACCATGTGCTGCGGCCCCGGCCCGCGCAGAATAAGCGTGGGGGAGGGGCCCACGGATCAATTTTCGCACAGGGGCCCCATGGGTCATGTGTACGCCACTGCACCTCACAGTAATGGATGTACTGAAAATAATTGCATCAGATAGCAAAAATGTATAACTTGATTGTTCTACTACGTGCCAATGATTCCAAAACATCTCACTGCTCTGTATCATTTCTGTACACAATTCTGATGTATTGGTGGATCTGTGGTTGTATCAATGGCATATCTATAATTATAAAAGATTGATAGAACAATTTGTTATAAAATAAATTGACAACATAATGACTAATCATGTGCTCTATACCTTAAATAACTATTAATAAAATTAATAAATAATTTTGTAGAAAAACCAATGCTAGACTGTGATCAACCCCATAATACAACATAAAATTACACTGGTGCTGAAGGTGTTAAGTATTTCAATCTATTATTATATTTTCTGATTTGCTAAATGTATATCTAGACAAGTTTTGAAGACCTCTTTTTCATTTAAATTTACAAAATCATGGCTGTAAATAGAATTGCATGGTCTCTCTGCTGCTCCCTGCTGCTGTAAACAGAATTTACAGATGTCATTGCATGCCATTATGTTCTTTGTACAGTTCTGTAATGAACAGAGAGTGAATACATTAGAACGTGGTTTGTATTTGCCTGTATACATCCCCACAATCATGCTTTTTTTTAGTGAAGGAAATTGCCATTTTCTTGTCTTTTTTTCATAACTAATGCTTGCATTACCTTTGTTAATTTCCATGCCCACTACGTCCCAGTTCTGCAAAGTCTATTTTGAGAAATAATGCTCACACCTGCACTGCATATGCAAGGTTCTCACTCTTGCTTCATAATGAGGCAAATCAGATTATTATCATATTTAATTATACCATATTTTTGCAATTAAATTTTTTTAAGGTATTTTTTTAACAATACTAATAATAAAAATAAAAAAGCATGACAGAACACAAAACAAAATATGATGCTTATAGTAATTCAAGACAGACATAAGGAAGTTGTCAAGTCCTGATCCATTTATTGACTCTCAAAAAACACGACAAGAAATACAAGAAGGAAAAGGAAGGGGGAAACAAGGGGAACCTAAAGAAAGAAGGAAGAAAAAGAGATAGGAAACACAAAAAAAGAAGGCAATAATTAAATAAAAAAAATACCTCATTTTAAAAATAATTCCTTACTAGGTAGTAGAGTGTTGTACAATAGTATATCGATGCACCAGAGCTCTGTGAGGGAGATCCTCTAGCCCCCAATATAAACACAAAACTATAAGCCATAGGCTACACAGTGCAGGGTAAAGAGTAGCCATATTTAATTTTGGTCCTAGAGGCAAAACAAAACAAGGATACGATGTTTCAGACATGAAGCCTTAGTCTCTTGGACATAATTAAATATAGCTACTCTTCACCCTGCACTGTGTAACCTATGGCTCTATACTTCATAATTCCTTACTAGTCATTGTAACGTCCGACTGTTGGCACTGTCTACTAATAATTACATATCCTTCTCACTCACCGATTCCCTTAACATAACCTACTTGAGAGTATAAGTTACTTGGCTTTTTTGTTAACCATTTGGCACCATGCCAGAAAAGAGTGAATCCTATAAGACTCAAAAATGCAGTCTTTTGATTTGTTTAATTTACCACTTTATTATGTATCAGTCAATCGCTTTGTTAGCATAAGATGTTTGTTAAATTGATTTAACCATCAGCCATTGGCTCCTCCTTGGTATAAAAAGAAGAACAACACTTACAGAAACAGTCTGGGCAATAATACAACTATAATGTACTTGAGGTTTTGGCCTCATTAATATGCTGTATTGTTTGTATGCTCAAATCGCATAGTTTTTGCATTAAAAAAAAACAACAATAAATGCTGTGCAGAATGCTGTACCATAAGCCAGGTTCAATCAGACAACAGGTCCTGTTTATTTCAGTGGAGCTAAACTCAAGAGGCAGCAATTGCCCAGAGCAGCTGTCTTTTCAGACAAGAGATCTGCACTGTTTGCAAATAGTGATGCACCGAACGGTTCCCTGGCGAATAGTTCCTGGCGAACATAGCATGTTCGCGTTCGCCACGGCGGGCGAACATATGCGCGGTTCGATCCGCCCCCTATTCATCATCATTGAGTAAACTTTGACCCTGTACCTCACAGTCAGCAGACACATTCCAGCCAATCAGCAGCAGACCCTCCCTCCCAGAACCTCCCACCTCCTGGACAGCATCCATTTTACATTCATTGTGAAGCTGCATTCTTAGTGAGAGGAGGGACAGTGTAGCTGCTGCTGATTTGATAGGGAAATTGATAGCTAGGCTAGTGTATTCAGTGTCCACTACAGTCCTGAAGGACTCATCTGATCTCTGCTGTAAGGACAGCACCCCAAAAGCCCTTTTTAGGGCTAGAACATCAGTCTGCTTTTTTTTCTGTGTAATGTAATTGCAGTTGCCTGCCTGCCAGCCTGTGTGTCAGGCTCACAGCATATACTGTGCCCACTTGCCCAGTGCCACCACTCACTCACTGGTGTCACAATAGCTTGCATTTAAAAACAAAAAACTTTTTTCACTGTTATAGATTGAATAGCAGTTAGTTGTCTCAAAGCGGGTGTGTCAGGCTCACAGTGGATACTGTGCCCAGTGTCACCACTCACTCACTGGTGTCACAATAGCTTGCATTTAAAAATAAAAAACTTTTTTCACTGTTATAGATTGAATAGCAGTTAGTTGTCTCAAAGCGGGTGTGTCAGGCTCACAGTGGATACTGTGCCCAGTGCCACCACTCACTCACTGGTGTCACAATAGCGTGCATTTAAAAACCAAAAAACTTTTTTCACTGTTATCGATTGAATAGCAGTTAGTTGTCTGCAAGCGTCTGTGTGTCAGGCTCGCAGCGTATACTGTGCCCATTTGCCCAGTGCCACCACTCACTCACTGGTGTCACAATAGCATGCATTTAAAAACCCAAAAACTTTTTTCACTGTTATAGATTGAATAGCAGTTAGTTGTCTTCAAGCGGGTGTGTCAGGCCTACAACGTGTACTCTGCCAACCTTTGCCAGTTCAAAGTGCCACTCTTATCTGGTGTCACAATAGCTTGCATTTAAAAACAAAAACCTTTTTCACTGTTATAGATTGAATAGCAGTTAGTTGTCTTCAAGCGGGAGTGTCAGCCCTACAGCGTGTACTCTGCCAACCTCTGCCAGTTCACAGTGCCACTCATATCTGGTGTCACAGTAGCTTGCACGTATAGTACCACTAATCGAAAAAAAAATGACAGGCAGAGGCAGGCCACCCCTACACTGCACATTGGGTAAACCTGCTGACGGCTGCCACGACTTGCAGGCAGGCTTGCTGCCACCTCCTCTACTCCTCCTACTCCATCCTCTTCCATAACCTCCTCGGCTGAGTCCTCTTCTGCTGCTGCGTCTTGCTCCACATCAACGGATAGGGGACGTAACAGGGATTAAACTGATAAGAATAGTACTAGTTAACACACCACTTCTATCTGGTGGCACATTAGATTGCACGCGCAGTGCCCCAAATTTGAAGTAGGAGGACCAACCAATCATCTTTTTCCATCTCCCGGTTCCTAAAATAGATGCCATATACACGTCCCCTGATAGGGGACGTAACAGGGATTAAACTGATAGGAATAATACTACTTAACACATCTTATAATAATGCAGAGAGAGGCAACGCAGTGAGAGGAGTCTGAAGAAGAGGAGTCAGAGGAGGAAGGTGGCTTTGAGGAGGTGGAAGACCAAACACAGCAGGCGTCCCAGGGGGCTTGTTGTCACCTTTCGGGGACCCTTGATGTTGTATGTGGCTTGGTGGAGGAAGAGACCTTCAATGACATCAATGAGGACAAGGAACGGGACATGGCTAGCTTGGTATCCAACCTTGTGCAAATGGGGAGTTTGCGGTTGTGCAAATGGACTGTTTGCGGTTGTTTGCGGTGCGTTAAACGGGGAGTTTAACGTAACCCTTACACTACCTGATTGATACAACAACATACAGTAGGTCCCCCCCCTCATTATTTTTATGGCCCCCACCCACCGCTCACGGGTGGGGGTGGGCGGGAGGACAGTAGGTCCCCCCCCCATTGAGATTTATGGCCCCCACCCACCGTGCAGGGGTGGAGGCCAGGGGGGAGGACAGTAGGTCCCCCCTTATCCTTATTTACTGAATATTCCCCTGTATAACAATGTTTGGCATTTAGTGAATATTCCCTATTCTGCTCTGTGTCAGTGTATATCAGGGATCCTTAGGATAGGTGTCAATCCATATCTGCCAAGTGACCCTATGTAGGGGTAACAGTCTCTATTCTGCTCTGTGTCAGTGTGTATCATGGTCTCTGAGGACAGGTGTCAATCCATATCTGCCAAGTGACCCTATGTAGGGGGAACAGTCTCTATTCTGCTCTGTGTCAGTGTGTATCATGGTCTCTGAGGACGGGTGTCAATCCATATCTGCCAAGTGACCCTATGTAGGAGGAACAGTCCCTATTCTGCTCTGTGTCAGTGTGTATCAGGGATCCCTAGGACAGGTGTCAATCCATATCTGCCAAGTGACCCGATGTAGGGGGAACAGTCCCTATTCTGCTCTGTGTCAGTGTGTATCATGGTTTCTGAGGACAGGTGTCAATCCATATCTGCCAAGTGACCCTATGTAGGAGGAACAGTCTCTATTCTGCTCTGTGTCGGTGTGTATCATGATCTCTGAGGACAGGTGTCAATCCATATCTGCCAAGTGACCCTATGTAGGAGAACAGTCTCTATTCTGCTCTGTGTCAGTGTGTATCATGGTCTCTGAGGACAGGTGTCAATCCATACCTGCCAAGTGACCCTATGTAGGGGGAACAGTCCCTATTCTGCTCTGTGTCAATATGTCATTTGTCAGGTATCAATCCATATCCATTGTGATTTAGGAATGTTAGGGGATTTCTGCCCTTTATGGATTAAGACCAGACTCTGCATCAACTGTGTAATTTTCCATGGGAGTTTTGCCATGGATCCCCCTCCGGCATGCCACAGTCCAGGTGTTAGTCCCCTTGAAACAACTTTTCCATCACTATTGTTGCCAGAAAGAGTCCCTGTGTGTTTTAAAATTCGCCTGCCCATTGAAGTCTATGGCGGTTCACCCGGTTCGCGAACATTTGAGGAAGTTCGCATTCGCCATTCGCGAACCGAAAATTTCATGTTCACGACATCACTATTTGCAAACTGTTTCTAGATATACCTCCAATGAAAAAATGCACAAGGAAATGCATGCATGTTTTCATTGCCATATATCTACTATTCAGTGATTTGATAAAAAAAAAAAAAATTTGGGCAGTGGAGTGTCCCTTTTAAAGGTTCTGCACTTACCCACTCACCCATTTCAAATTTTAGTGGACCAACATTTTCTATTTTGAATGTTTTGCTATGGAGGTACAAAAAATACTTTTAGTGGACTTGCTATTGCTTAATTTAGAGTGGATTATCAAAAGTATATATTCTAGTGGCGTACTAAGGGGGGGCGGCCCGCCCCGGGTGCCACTCACTAGGGGGGAGCCCGGGGCGCACTTTCACAAGGGCGGCAATCTCACTATAGACACAGTGCATTCACTATACACACACACACACACACACACACACTACATACACACTGCATTCACTATACACACACTGCATACACTATACACACACACACACACACACCGCATACACTATACACACACTGCATTCACTATACACGCACACACTATACACACACACACACACACTGCATTCACTATACACACACACACACTGCATTCACTATACACACACACACTACATTCACTATACACACACTGCATTCACTATACACGCACACACTGCATACACTATACACACACACACACACACACTGCATTCACTATACACACACACACACTGCATTCACTATACACACACTACATTCACTATACACACACTGCATTCACTATACACACACTGCATTCATTATATATACAAGCTGCATTCACTATGCAAACACACACTTATACATGTGTATCTGTTTGTGTGTCCGTGTTTGTTTTGGTGTGTCTGTGTATCTGTATGTATCTGTCTGTATGTGTGTCTGTATGTGTGTTAGTATTATTCTGTGTCTGTGTATGACTGTGTTTCTATGTAACTGCATGTGTGTACCTTTGTGTCTGTGTATCTATATGTGTACCAGTTTGTGTATATGTGAGTATATGTGTGTACAGCTTAGCATTTTGCCTAAACTACACACAAATACAACCCTGCATCCAAATGTCAACACAACATATAAACACACCACCATATTCAAAAAGCACACTACAGAAAAATGCACACCTGCATTCAAATGCCAATACGTGCAAACACACCCGTACATTCACTCACACATACTCCATACAATAACATGCTTACTGTCAGGATTACTGTTTGATCCAGCACGTAGAA